GTAACTGGGTGCTTCATTTGGCATGCACACACATGTGCACAACACACCCACACCCTTTGTGGATTACTTTTTCACTCTCTTGATGTCTTTTGATAAACAGAAATTTTTAGTCCAAAATCATTCCATTTTTCCCCGTTTTTAGTTTGCATTTTGTATTTTGTTGTCTAATTTAAGAAGTTTTTCCTACTTCAAAATAGTCATGTTTTCTTATATTTCCTTCTAAATTATTTCTGTTTTAAAACTTTCACATTTCTGTAAAGCAAAAGGAATTAATTCTTTGTATATGAAATGAAGAAGGGATCAAGTTATATTTTTCCACATGGTTACCCAACTGACCTAATACTACTTGTTGAAGGATACTTATTTTCCTTGCCACTCTATAATATTACTCTTGTTATAAATCATTCATTGCATATTTGTGGGTCTGTTTTTCTTGGAACTCCATTCTGTTACATGGTCTGTTTTGTCAGTTTTTACACTAATAACATACTATTTTATTTATTATAGCATTTTAATAGGGCTTGATACCTGATAGTCTAATTCTTCAAGCTTCATCTCTTTTTATTAAAGGTTCTTGACACTATACATTTTACACATGTATTTTAGAATCAGCTTGTCAAATTCTTCAAGGAAAAAATGCCTTCTAGCAATTTTTTGCTTTTTGTTCCCAAGTAACTTAACGGCATCATGAAACAGAGGTAAGAATTTTAGTAAGAATAAAAAATAGCTAGCAATCCCAAAGATAAAATACACCATGTCTGGCATCTAATCAAAGATTACAGGCATGCAAAGAAGCAGGAAAATACAATCCATAATGGGAAGAAAAATCAATGAATCAGTGAACAGCAAAAAATTCCACAATGACAAACTGGCAGACAAAGGTATTAACCAGTTATTATAACCATATCCCACATGCTCAAAGTCAAATAGATATGGGGAAGGTATAGAAAGATCCAAGTCAAACTTCTAGAGATAAAAATACATTTCTGTGATGAGAATACACTGGATGGGATTAGCAGTAGATTAGACATTATAGAAGAAAAAAATGAATGCACTGGAAGATGGAATATAAACAGTTAATAATGAAACAGAGAGAGAAAAGAAAAGGGCATCAGTGAGCTATGGGACAACTTCAAGTAGTCTAATGTGTTACTTCCCAAAGGCAAGTTTTTTACATTTAAATTTCTTTATAGGATAATTGGCTGTTTGCATCAAAATAATTCCAACATACTGTGGGGTTGAAACATATATGTAAAATAAAGTGTACGACAACAACAGCAAGACAGAGTGGAGATAAATGGACAAATATCCCACCACTGTAAGGTTTTCACACTCTATGCGAAGTAGTACAGCATCACTGGAAGGCAGACTGCGTAAAGGTGGAGACGTAAATTACAAACCCTGGAGCCACCTCTAAAATTACACAACACCGTCATAGCTAATAAGGCAACAAAAGAGGTAAAATGAATTATTACAGAAATGCTCCATTAATCCACAAGAAGGTATAAAAGAGAATGAAAAAGGAACAAAGAAGAGATGGGACTAATAGAAAACGAATGGTAAGATGATAGACACGAATGTAACGAGATCAATAATCACATCAAATGAAAATAGTCTAAATGACCTAATTAAAAAGTACAGATTGCGACATTGAATAAAAAAGAAAAAACTGCTATGTGCTACCTACCAAAAATGCACTAGGAAGGCTCAGAATGTAAAAAGTAAAAGGGTGGGAAAGATGGACCACGCTAACACTCAACAAAAGATAGCAGAAGCAGTGATATTAATATCAGAGAAAGGAAATCTCAGAGCAGAGTATATCCTCTGGGATAAAGCAGGTCATATCCTAATGATAAAAGGGCCAATCTAATAAGAGGACACAGCAATCATAAAGATTTATGCATCTAAAAACAGAGCTTCAAATACTGAAGCAAAAAGGGGAGAACTGCAAGGAGAAATAGACAAACCCACAATTACAGTCAGCCATCTCAATACCTCTCAGTAACTGATTGAACAATTGACAGGATAAAAAATCAGTAAGGATATAGAAGACACGCACAACATTATCAACCAACTTGACCTAATTGATGTTTACAGAATACTTCACCCAACAGCAGCAGAATACACGTCCTTTTCCAGGGCACACTAACCATGTGCCAGGATGGACTATAGATTCTGGGCATAAAGTAAGTATCAATAAATTTAAAAGAATTAAATCATGTAGAGTGTGTTCTCTGACCACAGAGGCACTAAATTAGAAATCAACAGAAAGATCTCTGGAAAAATCTGAAATATTCAGATTAAATAACATTCTAAATAGCCCAGGGGCCAAAGAACAAAGCAAAAAGGAAATTTAAAGTGTTTTTAACTGAATAAAGATGAAATGATAACATATCAAGGCTGGTAGGATGACACTAAAGCCGTACTTAGGGGAAAACCGAAGAATAGGAATAATCCCCTGTGCATCCTGAGGCCGGCACTGCAATGGACCAAACCAGACAAAGGCATTACAAGAAAAGAAAACTACAGACCAATATCCCTCGTGAATACTGATTAATAATCCTTTTAAGATCCAGTATGTTGAATCCAACAACATCTAAAAAGGATAAGACGTCATGACCAAGTGGAGTTTATCTCAGTAACGTGCAGTCGGTTTAAAAACTGTCAGTGCAAGTCACCACATCAAACACTAAAAAAAGAAAAATCATACGATCATCTCCATAGATGCTCAAAAAACATTTGATGAAATCTAACATCCACACCTGATAAAATCTCTTAGCAAATCAGGAGTGTTTAGAAACTTCATTGCCTAATAAAAGGCATTTATGAAAAACCTACGGTTAACAGAAGATTTTTGCAAGTGGACTACCATAAGCTAAAAATGTATATTTTAATTCCTAGATCAAACAGTAAAAGTAGCACAAAGAGGGGAAAAATAGTGTTTCCAACGAATGGTGCTGGAGAAACTGTGTATCATATGAAGAAATGATGGATCTCAGTCCTTGTCTCACCCCACAATCCAGGAGAGGGCAAACTAAGACCCACAGCCTCAATCCGATCCCTGCCTGTTCGCATGCGGCCCAGAAGCCAACAGTGGTTTTCACACTGTTAAATGGTTGAAAAAATATAAAGAATAATATTTTGTGACATATGAACCTCATACAAAACTCAAATGTCAGTATCCATAAATAAAGTTTTATTGGAACACAGCTGTGCTCATTCATTTGCATATTGTCTCTGGCTGCTTCTGCCCTGTGATGGCCCAGTTGAGTAGCTGGGACAGAGACTGCATGGGGCACAAACCAAACGTATTTACCATTGGGCCTTTTACATAAAAAATATGTTCACCCCTGCCATGAGCAAAAATTCGTGTGAGATGGATCAACATTCTCAATGATCTATAAAGCTTCTGAACTACAAAGCGTCTGAAAGAAAATATAGCAAATCCTCTTTATGACCTTGGAGCAGGCAAAGATTTCCTAAAGAGGACAAAAAAAATTGTCATCTTTAAAAAGTAAACTTTTCTTTATCAAAACTTTTTAAATTCTGTCCATCAAAAGATAGTAAGATAATGATTTAGGGGCTGGCCCGGTGGCATAGTGGTTAAGTTTGCAAGCTCTGCTTTGGCGGCCTGGGGTTCATGGGTTCAGATCCCAGATAGGGACCTAGCACCATTCGTCAAGCCACGCTCTGATGGCACCCCACATAAAGAAGAGGAGATTGGCGCAGATATCAGATTGGCTCAGCAACAATCTTCCTCAACCCAAAAGAGGAAGATTGGCAACAGATGTTAGCTTAGGGCCATTCTTCCTCACACACATGCAAAAAATATATTTATATAGATATATAGATAGATATCCGAGAAAGGGCATGTATCCATAATATAAAGAATTCCTATAAATCAATAATAAAAAAGTCAAGTAATTCAATTTTTTAAAAAGTCAAGTAATTCAATTTAAAAAAAAAAAAAGTGAAAGATTTGAGCAGGGTCTTCAAAACAGGAAAATATATAAGCAGACAGTTCCTTCTCCATGGAACTGATGGGGTTATTTCCCCAGCAGTTTGGAAGACTTTTTGGCTAATGGACTCCACCCTCAGCCCTCTCCAGGAAGTACCTTGGGTCCCAGAGAGCCCTTTGCCCAAGGTTCCAACCCCTTCCCAGGGTAGCTGGCATCAAATGACTGGCTGGTATCGCCTTTCCTAGAACACTAATTATGAGATTTAGAATTATTCTAGTCTTTTTGGAAAAATATTTGCTTAGTGCCTCCCTCACGACCACATGCTAAGGGTCAGCTTGAGAGAGGTAAGCATCAAATCAGCAAGAGCTGTGCTGTGTCCTGGGTCATCCCAACGCCTAATGTAGGTGGTACCCACCTGCTTGGGCACTGTCGATGGAGCTCCTGAACAACTGGCCACGTGAGGGCGCTGTGGATCCACTGAGTGAGCCGCTGATAGCATCCCGGAGAGAGAGAGGGTTAAGGGAGAGACAGTCTTGGCTTGGTCCCTGCATCAGGGAGATAATTTTTTGAATCAAAGTAAGTCCTGGTATATGAAGTGTTGATCATAGTCTTCTCACAAGAACTGATGTGCACTTGTGTTTGCCACAGCAGGGAACCAAGAACTTCCCTTCCATGGAGTAAGGCCTCTCTTGGAGCCTACATTTGGTGGAGAGTGTGATGGGGCTCCAGTGGGGTGGCCTGGATAATCAGAGCCAGGTGTAGTGAAAGGAGCACCTGCTCTGAGGACAGTAGAGAAGGTGTGGAGGTTGGACCCTGGCCAGACTAGCACAGCACAGCCAACTCTCCCTGCTCAAGAGGCAGGCAGACAGAGATGGGAAGACCTGGATCAGCTGAGCCTGTCCATGGGATGCACAGTGCCTACAGGAGCCCACAAGGACAGTGACATCAGAAATGACATCACAAGAAAGCCCTCCAAAGGGAGAAAAGGGAGGAGCAAAACATCTGTTCTCTTCCCCAAAGGCCAGAGCCTTGAGTAGGGAGATGCTCTGTCTTGTGCTGCCTGAGTCAGCCAGGGGCACCCAGCTCCTCTGCTGTGTGGCCCTCCGTCTCCTGGAAGCTGGTGAGTCCTGAACTCAGGTGGGACATATCTTGAGCCTTTGACTGTTGCTGGAGTATCAGCCTCCTTCCTGCACTAGGTCTTCAGCCTCTGTCTCCTTTCTCCACAGGTCCAGCGGATGCTGGGGTCATCCAGTTCCCCAAACACCTAATCAAAGGCATGGGGGGAAATGCTGTTCTGAAATGCTACCCCAGCTCTGGACACAGCAGTGTTTGCTGGTTCCAGCAGGCTCTTGGGCAGGGCCCCCAGTTTCTCATCAAGTATTATGAAAAGGAGCAGGGAGAGAAGCGGAACATCCCTGACCGCTTCTCAGCTCAACAGTTCAGTGACTATAGCTCTGAGCTGGACGTGAGCTCCTTGGAGCTGGAAGAATCAGCCTTGTATCTCTGTGCCAGCAGCTCAGGCACAGCCCTGCGGAGTTCCCGGCTCCCTGTACTCAAACCTTCCTGTCCCAGCTAAGTATGTGATGGGGGAGCGAGGAGGCCTTAGCCAAGTCCCAGGGATGCTTCTAGTTCTGCTCTAACACCCTCTCTTCCCTGCCGAGCTCAGGCAGAGCACTCCTGAATAGTCAGGCCCCAGCATCACTGAGTATTCTCACATCTCTGCCATCACCTTCCAAGTCCTAGCGAATGGCAGGAGTTCCTACTCTGTGATAGACTGTAGGTGAACTTTATGTGTTTTAATGCCAGGTAGATATCAGTGTGCCCACTGTATAGACAAGGAGATCTCAGTATATCACTTTAGAGATAGAAAGCTATCGCTAATAGACTTTCCAAATATTTCATATTTAAAGTGTCAGAGGCAGGAGTCAAGCCTACATCTCCATGCCTCCAAAATCAATGTTCCCCTAAATTCCACAGTGTTCCCCTGGGCCTTGATCAATAAGATATAGCAGAGCACTGTCTCTGGCATTTCAAGGCCAGCTGAGCTGTGGTGGGGAAGTGACCCATCATGGTGTGTGGTCACTATAGCTTATTGCCTGCCAATGTCTAGGACATATAACTTCAAGCCAGAGAATGTGTGTTTGTCCCATGATAGTTCCATATACAGTGGGGCCATTATATCCTCTACTACAGGAGAGAAGTGTCTAGGGGGATTTACAAAGTATCAGAGGATTCAGCCAAGGAAACAGAAGCCCTCCAGCAATTTCAGGCAGAATGGGAGTTAATACGGGGAATTACTGCTTCTAAACCATCGGAAGTTCTGGAGGAGGGAGGGTCTCCGAAGGCTGCAGCTTGCTCTCAGGTCCACCACTTGTGGTCAGAAAATCTGAAATGCTACTTCTGCCCAGGTCAGGGACTGAAGAAAACAGCTGAGAGTCACAGATATTAAATGTATGGTGTAGACATTTGCAGCCTGAAGGTACAAGTTTATTAGTGAACACAGACAACAGCTTTCATTCTACTACTCTGATGTGAACTTACAGAGAATTTCCTTATTTATCACTCATTTCTCTGTACCATATACTTAAGTACACTGTTTCGATTAATTTTCTTAAGAACCACATGAGATAGAACAATTTCTCCACATTACAACGAAAAACTGATTGTAACAGAGTTTAGATAATTTGTTAAAAGAGGCACAGCCACCAACTATGGGAACTGGCACTCAGCCATAGCCAATCCTGATTGCCCCCATGCTTTATCACCCCACCCTCCTGCATTTGGGTAGAGGGAGACGTCTTCAGAACTGAACACTGACCCAGAAGTCCCTTTCTGAAACCCTGGCTCTGACACACATCATTTGCACAATGTCTCTCACCTGGGAGGCTATGCACTGAAGAGGATGGAGCTCTGACTTCAAAGGCCTTGGTCTGTTCCTATTATGACCTGCCTTCAGCCGGTGACTTGGAAAATATTTATCTGAGTTTTCTGTTTGTTAACTGAGAACAATAAAATGTGTGTTGCTGAGATTTTACGGAAGCAAATAAAAAAAGTTACCTAATATAAAGTATAGGCTCAAGAAATCTTAGTTCCCTATTACCTCTATGATAAACCTCTGGTCTAGCACAATTGTTTACTATGTGCGATTCTGGGATCACAGGCAGGTGTGGATGACTTTTGCCTGTCTCACCTATGTTCCTGACACAAAGTTATCTGAAATGCAAATACAGTCGTCTGATCATTTATGTGTGAAATTAATTACGAAGTGTCGCCTCTTAAGGCAAAATAAAAATAAGACCCACGACAGCACTTCCTGTTTGATATTAATTCTCATATGAAAGAAAGTGTGGTGCTTCTAGAAATTGTGGCTTCAGAGCAATTGGAGATCACACAAAAGATCTGACGGATGAAGGGACAGTTTCATTTGAAGAGAGACCATCGTAGAAGGGCCTCTCATGCCTTCCATCACATCCTCGGCCCACCTCTGATTTCAGCCACAGCTACAGGGACAGTTACATCCAAGTCTGCGTCCATTCACCTTGTGCCGACAGCCCCCCACATGCCCACCAGGAGTCCCTCTGCTTTCTGGCCTAGTGCCTTCTCTATGTCATAGGAGTCCACTTGGCCCGCACACGAGGGCAGCCAGATCTGCAGGTGCTAATGCTCAGGGTGGGAGAAAAGCTCCAGGCTCTACATTCAGGTAGACAATCCTGAAGGCATTCCATGTGCTTCTCAGCAGTTTCCAAGGAATCCATCTTTTGCTCCAGCGCAACTTCAATATGGCACCTTCATGCTGCTTTTCCCCTTCCCCGTTTCATTCGCCCTGCTTTCTTACTCCTGTCTCCTGGGATCGTTTCCCAAATAAACTGCTTGCACTTAAGTCCTGGACTCAAGACTTTGCCTCCAGGGGCAGCCTAAACCGTGACAGTGATAGAATGACATGACCATTGGAAGACACTCCCCTTTGGAAGAAACTGACATTTTTCTTTCATTCATATTGCCATCCATTCACTCAAATTCTTATAATAACATAGATGAGTAAATCTTTTGTGAGTACATTTGGGTTATTTTGAATTTCCAACAGACTCGCATGGTTCCCGCTCCCTTAAAGCTGTGAACCTATTTGTAACTGTATGGGCTAGGATTATGTTTACAGAAGTAGAGTCTACCTGGACTCAGAAATCTATTTATTCCTTTCTTCATTCATTCAACAAATACATGTGGGACGTAGGTGAAGAGTAGATCCAGGTTTTGTGGGGCCTAAAGCTTATAAAAATTTAGGGTCCTCTTTAGAAAAGAGAACAGAAAAAGTTTTCAAAGTCCTGAAGAAGTTCTGTGCAAGTGAGAAGGCCTGAAGTTATTCTTCACTGACTTTATAGCCAATCCACCCTCCGTGTGTAGGTACTGTTCCAGGTTCTTGGGAAACGCTAGTGCAAAAAAATCAGAAACAGACAAGCTTCAAGATGAAGTGTATGTTTTCTACAACACCAAATTTGTGACTCAATAATTACTAATTAATTTAAAAATAAATTTAAAAAGAGATATTCCTGCAAAATGCTTGTCTCCCTAAAGAAATTAGGATATTGTTGATCATACCTTATTATAAGAACAGTCCTCAGATGTCTGGGATTCCAGGTACCCTACCCCAAACAAAGTGAGTCCTAGCTGAAAAACGCCCCTTTTGTTGCACTGAGCCAGCCATGGGCTGTAGGCTCCTTTGCTCTGTGGCTTTTGGTCTCCTGGAACCAAGTGAGTCCTGGGCGTAAATGGGTTTGCCAGGATCCAAACACAAGCCATTCCATGTGGAGCTACATCAGCTTCCTCCTTGCCTCTGATTTCTGATTTTGTGTCCTTTCTCACTGTTGTGTGCTTGTAGGAATCAGGCATCGAGAAGTGCAGTCCCAGAAATAGGGAAGCCTCACACTGAGATATGACCTACAGATGGAACAGCAGTGTGCACAGGTACTGATTAGCTGTGAGCTTTGCACTATGGCAAATTTATGACTCAGTCAATGTTCTCTCATTTGGTGGGTGCAAGACCTTCTGAATGGAGACAGAACATTTCCCAGTGACCACAGAGGCATCAGAAATGTGTACCACTGGGAATAGCTCATCCACATCGCTAACAACCACCCTCTCTTTTTCACAGAAATCACAGTAGCTTGGGCTTCAGTGGTCCACTCGTCCATGGCCTCACCTGAAACAGAGGGAAGAATCTTGCCCATGAGAACATAGAGGCCTGAGTGCAGATGACAGGGCTCCCATGAGTCGGTGAATTCTGAGACAATATCAAACCATTCTTCAAATTCCAGTGACCCTGACCTTGAGACTGAAAAATTTCTAGACATTAAGTGGGTTTTAAAATGAGAAGATCACTGTAAGCTGACATTCAATTATCTACAGTTTAGGCAAAAATAAAAGCTAAGAAAAGGTATTTGGAGGCAAATTTTGAGCAGAGAAGTCACAAAAGTACCAAGACTGCCATGAGAATGTTTCTTAGTCAACAGAAATATTATGAAAAATTTTAATAGTATACAAATAAGGACTTGTATCATTATGGGAATAAAATATGCAGAGGAACAAATTTCCTTACTAATGGTTAGGGGAAAACAAATATACTTATAAGATTTCTTCAAAAAACAGACTTCAAAATTGTTCCTATTCCGTTACACATTCAGTTGTGTATATATGTAAACAATTCATTTATTCCTGTGAGAAAGGGGTGTGGCAGCTTAGCTCTGCAGCATAAGCATTGGTCAGGGATGCTGGCATCATTGAGACACCGAGAGCCCAAGTTATTTCCCCAAAATAGAGCTGAAAGGCACGAGATTCTGCCCTGAATCTGAAATGGGCACCAGGCTCTTCTGCCATGTGGTTCTTTGTTTCCTGTGGACAGGTGAGTACTGGTCATAGGTGGGTTTCTTTCTCTGGATTCCCAAGACCTCAATCCAAGTCTTCCTCTTAAGATGACAACATCAGGCTCTGTCCCTCTCTATTACAGGACACATGAATGCTGGGGCTAGAATCACTCAGAGCCCGAGACATAGGATCACAGGGACAAGGAAGAGGGTGACTCAGATGTCACCAGACTCAAAACCATGACTGCATGTACTGGTATCGACAAGACCTGGGACATGGTCTGAAGTTAATCCATTATTCATCTGGGATAGGAAGCACTGACCAAAGAGAAGTCCCCGGTGCGTACAGCATCTCCAGATCAAATACAGAGAATTTCCCCCTCACGGTGGAGTCTGCTACCTAGCCCCTCCCAGACATCTGTGTACTTCTACGCCAGCAGTTACTCCACAGTGCTGCACGGCCGCCTCGTCTCTGCACACAAAGTGTAGTTAGAAAGACTGAGGGTGCCCTGCACTCATGAGGCCTAACCCAAAGCCCAGGAAGCCCTTGCCTCCACAGGTGTCACAGAGGTCCTGCCAGCATGGCGGCCTTCCAGCAGTGGGCGATATGACGCTGAGTGTGGAAGTCCATCCCTAAGCCACTCTCGGCCTGACCAGAGGTCATCTCAACATCCTTACCTTGCTGGTTCTCTCTTCTGCAGATCTCAATCTTTCTGCATACAGAAAGGAAAATGTATCTCTAGTTGAGGTACATGAAGATTCCCTTGATAATCTAAAACCTCTACATTCTTCCCTCCACTATGGGCTTCAGTGACTTCCTCATCTACTCCTTCCACACCC